ACTCTTGTGACTCGAGGCCTGAAGCTCAATGCCATAAATAGCACTGGATTTGTAGTTACTCCTACATAGTGTAGGTGGGAGTGGAGGAGGGGCGGCGGGAATTAGGTTGAAAATCAAGCTGGGAGTATTTATTCAACTCATGCCATGGGCCAAAGCCTTTATGATTTTATCTTTTTTTGTACTGTAGCTCTCCCATAGAGAATAAAGCTGTGAAGCAGAGAACTAGGGACTATTGAGAAGGAACCCCTTTTTTGAACCAGTCCTGTAATAATATAATTGAAGACTCAGAATAAGAGCAGACACATCTTTTCTCTTCCCCCACCCTCTTGGGTAGGAGGAAAATGAATAGTTAGGATTTTTTTTTTAAGCATTTTACTATGTGGTTAGCACTGTGCGAGACAGGTTGGTCTCAAGGTGATTTGCGGCTATGAAGTTCTTTCTGATTAGTGCTATGCATAGGGAGAAGTGAAGGAAAGATTCCATCCCTTTTCTCCAAACATGGCCATCAACGTACCACGGCCAAGCATGAGAACAAGACCTGCTTTGGGACTGTGGTGAACTCTGGTTAAGCTGCAAAGCTCAGCAATATGTATTTTGAACGTAGTTTTCCCAATGTGGAGGCTGCCAGACATAGCTGTTTTATAGTCAGATGATGGTGAGTTAAATGGCCCCAGAGACAGATCTGAAAATGACATGTTCCCTTGGGGGCTCTTTTTTGAAATTTTGCTACTAAACAGACATCCGTTTCTAGCCTTGTCTTGACCCCAGATCCCTAACTCTCTATGGTGCCTTCTCTCCTACTCAGGTTGCTGTGGTAATAGGCAGAGAATTTCCATTCTGTTCCACTTTTTTGTCACCAGTTCCATTTTACCTCTAAGGACAGTAGTTCTGCATTGACCAAGGATAATCTAAGCCTGAGGAAGACTTCTCTGAACCTTCTGCCTTTTGGTGGACTCCAGGACCCAGATCAGAAAGATGGAGCTAAATCAATTTCCTTAAGAACAGAGATTCTTAACCTGGGGTCCATAAACTTTTCTTTTTAATTTTTTAAAATTTATTTTCATTTATTTATTTATTTGTTTGTTTTTAGGCAATTGGGGTTAAGTGACTTGCCCAGGGTTGTACAGCTAGTAAGTGTTAAGTGTTTGGTCTGAGGCCAGATTTGAACTCAGGTCCTCCTGATTTCAGGGCCAGTGCTCTTTCCACTGCGCTACTTAGCTGCCCCTTTTCTTTTTAATTTTGATAATTGTGTTTCAATATGATTAGTTTACTTTGTAATCCTGTATGTTTTATGTATTTAAAAACATTATTCTGAGAAGAGGTCCAAAGTAAATGATACAAAAAAAAGTTAAGAACTTAATTTATCTACACCTCCCATAGCCAAATTCCAAACTAGACATGCCATTGTAAATCTTCTTTTGAAGACAGGGTGGGATCTCATAAGATGGAGTGGGGTGGGGTGGGAAGACCTTGAACGCAGTTTTGAAATTTGAGACTACTACTGCTCCTGGAAAATTGAAACTACTGCTACTCCCATCTTATTTGCCATGTACCTTACTCAGCATTTGAGGGGAACTTTCGCTTGTAACCCTTGGTTGAGTACACATTGGCTAGGAGGGCCACCTCTGTGCACTGTGGGAAATACTGGAAAAGTAAAAGGCACAATCCTTGCCTTCTGAGAACTTAAGAGTCCGGTTAAGGAGATAAATTTATATGCATAGAACACTTAAGAGAATAGTCTTAAGAATGTTGCAACATAGATAAGACCCTGAAGTCTATGAGAGATCAGAAGGATGAAAGGCTTCCTTTTTTTTTCAGAGAGGGACTTTGAAGGATGATAAGGAAAGAATGGGGAATAATTAGGGTATTACGGGCAGGTGTTATTTCTTGTGTAACACCCTAAATACTTAAGCACTCAGTAACTTCTTTGGTTGTGTAAGGTCCTGGAAGGAGAGATGTTAATGGATGAGGAGGGAGTGAAAAGTTGGAGGCTACTTAAGAATAGAAACACTTGTTCTTCTTAAGAGTCTGGGAAGAGCCTCCTGAATGCCAGATTTGGAAAACACCCAATGGAGCTGTCCCCTTTCCATGATATATGAGCTTGGAGAGGTGGAAATATCCCAGGGTGCCTGGGAAGCTGAAGCTGGTGTGCTGGGAAGGGAGCCAGGGAACTGAGAGATCAGGCAGCAGAGGGGACCCCTTGGACACAACCCTGGATTTCTGGGTAGGGCCAGATGGTCCGGAGCAGCTGACTATGCCAAGAACTTAGGGCCAAGTCTTACCGTGGATTGTCCCAGGCCACTAACATTGGTCAGAAGCCTTTAATGATAGACACTGTCCTCATCACCAAAGTACAGGCTTGCAAGTGGGGCCCCTTTGCAGAAAATATTTTCTATGGAAAGGCAAGCTTATAAAATAAATAAATTAGTTTGTGATTACTCAAATTCCAAAACTGTTTAATGTCAATAGCAGTTTTGATCTCACATTTTTGCATCTCACATCCTGAGAAATCCCACATGTGAAAAACCTGGGACCAATTGCACTTCAGATATTTACTAGTTATATGGCCCTGGGCAAGTCAGTGCCTCAACTCAAAAATGAAGGGGTTGTGTCTGATGGCCACTAAGGGTTCCTTTCAGTCCTAAATCCATATCTATTGCCAGATGCTCAGCTCATATCAGGAATGTAGTGGGTGGCTTATGCTGTCTCCTGGCTTAGGTTTCCCTTTAGTCAGGGACCATCCTGTCCTGGATGAAGTGTCAGCCTGGGGTCAGAATGTCCAAGGTTTCAGAAAAGATCCTCTAGAAATTAGAAACCCAATTCAAGGCTAGGATCACATAGCCTTGAATTTCATTTGATTTGATTCCCCTTATAAGGAAACTGATCTGGGTCCCTGTAAGGAAACTCCAGAAAATAATTTAAAAAAAAAATAAGAAAAGATTACAATAGTTCCTGCTGAGAAAGATCTTAATAGTAACCTCAGTAATAATTGGTTTACATTTTGTATCGTAAAAGTTCAAAGGGATTTCACATGTATTATCTTACTTTGTCCTTAAAAAAAAGATGGGGTTGTATTGAGATAAGGTAGAGCTGGGAGTGTTCTTCCCTTTTACAGATAAAGAAATTGGAGCAAGATTAAAATTTGTCCAGACTCATACTGGTGATTAATGACCACCCCAGGACTAAGAATATGGGTTTTTCTCACTTCCATGCTTGGGCAAAACTAGGCTCGGCAGGTGTTTCCTTCTCCTGTCCTGGCCACAACCTTCTTGACCTTACTAGTCACACTGCAGATCTGACCTCAAGGCACAACAAATATGATCACACATTTGTGTCTGGCAGAGAGGGATGGCTTTTTAATCAAAATCAACCAACCAGTCAATCAGTATTTATTAAGCGTACTAGGCTAAGCACTAGTGATTAAAAAAAAAAAAAGGCAAAAGATGTCCCTATCCTTGAAGAGTTTACAATCTAATTAATGGAGCTCAGAAGAAACTCCATAGAGTAGATCTATGAAAAGCGCACAAAAATGTCTCAAGCCTAAGGGGTTTAATACATTAGATTGGGGGAGGAGGTCCTGATTTCCAGATCTGGAGGGCCCTTGGAAGGACCAGCTCAAAAATACTATTCTTTCACGTCTCCAAGAATATCTCAGTATGGTAATTTGAGATTCATGTTTTATGGACAACCTTCTTTTTGTTGTTCTTCTATATATGTGAAAATGATCATTTTGTAAATGTTTGTCAAGTTTGGAATAACAAAAATGTAATTTTAAATAAAAAAAATTATTATGTACAACCTTGATGTGGAGTGCTGCTTTAAAGCAGGGGTTCTTAACCCCTTTGGCTGTTTGGTGAAGGGTACAAGCCACCTTTTCAGAAAAATGTCAGGGGCAGCTAGGTAGTGCGGTGGATAGAGCTCCTGCCTTAGAGTCAGGAGGACCTGGGTTCAAATTTGACCTCAGACACTTGATACTTACTAGCTGTGTGACCCTGGGCAAGTCACTTAACCCCAATTGCCTAGCAAAAAACAAAAACAAACAAATGTGACCTCAAACACTTGACATTTAACTAGCTATGTGACCCTGGGCAAGTCATTTAACCCCATGATTGCCTAAGCAAAAAACCACAACAGAAAAATGGTGGTATAGTGGATAGAGCACTGGGACAGGAGTCAAGATCTGAATTCAAATCCAGCCTCAGACCCTTACTAGGAGTTTAACCTTGTGCAAAGCATTTAGCCTCTGTTTGCTTCTGTTTCTTCATCTGTAAAATTGAGAATAATAATAACTGCATCTCCCATAGTTGTTGTGAGGATCAAATTAGATAATAATTTTAAAGCATTTAACATAGTGCCTGGCACATAGTAAGCTAAAAATGTTAGCTATGATTATTATTAATAATATTTTAAATGCATAAATTAAAATTCAAAGGATTACAAGGGAAAAGAATTGCATTGAAATATGGTTTGTATATATGTATATACATATATGTATATATAAAACAATTTCACAGACCCCTAACACCCTCCCACCCATCACCTTAGAGACAGTGTAATAATCATTGCATCCTACTAAGTTTTCCTTCATCCACCCTCAGCAGTACCCTAGTGGTGCCATATTATAGCACAATCCAAACCAGTTTAAAATGTAATTGAGGAATGTTTAGCAAAATGAATAAAAACACAGTAAAACATAGATAACATTATATTTTAAAATTAAGTCATATGCATCCCACAGGGATCCTTATGTACACATTAGTAGCCCCCATTTCTATTTGGGGTTTTCACAACTGTGCTAGAGAAGTAAAGTGTTCTGAGGATCTAACTTGCTATCAGCTTGATTCCTTTCAGGCCCTAGGCTTGTGAGTTGATGCTTATTTGCATGGCTGACTTAGTAGGTTCTTTGTTTTGTTTGTTGTAGTGTCTCCTGAATAAAGTTCCTAGAAAATTTATGTTTTTGACTGAATGCCACTCACTCCTTTGTCTTGATTTCTTGGCAGGCACCTCCTCATCAAATTTGCCCTGTCATTCTGGCTGCTTCCATCACCACGTGGGTAAAACGGGCACCCTACAAACATGGCAGACGAAGACCTTATATTCCGCCTGGAAGGCATTGACAATAGCCAGTCACCTCACTCCCATCATGCTGGCTTTTCTGATGATGACAGTGATGGGGAGGATGGCTACTACATCTGCCCCATCACAGATGACCCTGCCTGTAATAAGATTGCTAATTCCAAGGTCTCTAACTACTACAGCAACTTAACCAAGAATGAACAATATGGATCCAGCTGTTCACCTGGAAATTCCTTCCATTTTAAGGTACGTATCTTCCTGGGAGTCACCCATGTGGGAGGTCACTTACGGTACAGTGAAAAGAATGCTGGATTTAGAGTCAGGAGCTGGGTTCAAGATCTGTCTCTGCTACTCATTGACTGTGAGACCTTGGCCAAGATTGGAGATTTGGGGGGCCTCTTAGTGCTTTGGAACTAAAGCCGTAATTCTAAATGAGTCTTGGAGACAATTAAGGTGTTTATCTTTCTGGACATAGGGTTCTTTCTACTAAACTAGTTTGAGGTCTTTCTTGAAACACATTATACTCTTTCCTGCTCAACCTTCTCACAAGTTGTTCAAGGAATGGCACCTTGACAGGATCAGGTCTCAGCTTGCCTAGAGTTCCAAAGGCCTCTTCAGGTGTCGGTGTTAAAAATTGCAGTGTTAAAAAATGTAGCTCTGTGACTGGTTATTGAATTTGAGGACTAAATGGAAAAAAGCTTGTTAGTGGAAGGGAACTCAGCAGCCACTGTAGTTCAAGTCCCATACATAAAGGCAATCCCTACTCTAATGTACCCAACAAGTGGTCATGCTCTGAGGACTGCCTGGTCATCCAGCCTCTCTGCCTGAAGACCTCTAAGCAGGAGGAGGCACTTCTCAAGGCAAGTCCATTTCACTTTTGAACAAGTCTAGTCATTATGACATCAAACTTATATTTGGTTCTTTTCAATTTGTGATCATTGTTCCTGGATCTGCTACCCGAGGCAGATTTTTTTTTTCTTTCCATTGATGGTGATAGGCAAAATCATCCCGTACTTATAAAGTGTGGTTCTAAGTTCCTTTCTAGATGAGACAAATAAAAATGCTTGATAGAGCCAATTCTTGCTTATTTGGAGGCTAATGAGCCAGTTGTGGACTACCCTGTTTCCTGACCATTTGTCCTTGTTGCGTCCCTTAGCATCTTTTGTCTGGGTAAGGAGGATCTTTAGAACCTTCACTATTTCATGAGTACCATGCAAGAGCAGAGAGAAACTGTAAAATTAACCTCATCTTCAAGTTGCTTTGGATAGCAAAGATTAAATGGAAGGAAAAGATAGTATAGCCAAAAACCCCACAACATTTATGTCCATTGCTCACAACATACTATCTCTTGAATTCCAGTTGGATCAAGGAGTCAAAACAATTACTAGAATAAAAAAGAATAAGGAATACTTCTACTGTAGGCCACGGTTGTCCTGTACTTCCCCACACCCCCCTTCCCCTCCATTCCCCTCATTCCCCTATCCCTCTGCCATCTACCCTCTCCCTACTGCCATTCATCTTGTATAACACCAAGGTGACTTATAATTAGTGGGGTTTTTTTAAATTTCACAATATTTATTTATTTATTTATTTTGCTCTATGGTTTTCTTCCTTTCAGAGTAATAACATGGGGGTGGAGGCAAGAGGGTGACACAGAAACCTATATTTTAATGCTGCCTCTATTTGGACCATTAGCTCAGTTGTGGATAGAAAATAAATTCTTGATAAACTTATGAAACAAAGTATTGTGGACAAGGTGGATTTGAATATGAATACTTAAAAATTCTCTGTAACAGAAACCAAATATAATCAAAAGACAAGCAACAGATTAGGGAAAGAAATCTCCATGGTAAATACATTCAATGAAAGCTTGCAATCCAGGAATTGTTTCAGATTTATAAGGACAACACCCAGTCCACAGTGGATTAGTGGTCAAAGAACATGAGCAAACACTTTACAAAAGAGGAATTCCACGTTATAAATAATCATTTTCCCTAATACCCAGAGAAATGTATGTTAAAGTAACAACTTCACTCACAATTACCAAAAATAATTTAAAAATAGATAAATATTGAGGAAGCGTATGTTATAGATTTAAGCCTATATTGTTGGTGGAGCTGCAAATTGGTAAATAACCTTTACCCAGTAATCTCATTAAGGTAATTTATTTTTTACTGAAAGGAAAAACAACTGTCTATACAAAAAAATTATAACTATATTATTTGTAACAGTGAAAAACCTGGGAGCAACCCAAATTTGCAGTGTTTAATTATTAGTTGAATAAATTGTGGTATTTCAATATAATTAAGAAGTACATATAGCGCTATTAAAATGACAGGTATGTTTTGATGGGTCTATGATTTCATTTAGCGTGACCAGTTCAAGGAAATAAGGACATATTTTTATATGAAATAAAGTAGAACTAGTGTGAGTCATACTGGCTATAACTTTTTAAGAAACTATCCATGTATACAAATGTAACTATACAAAGAGATTGGAATGGGGAAATGGGATAATTGATAAACTGTTATTTGGATGTTACATTATATTCTGTTTTGTGAATAGTTTGAATATATACATGTTTATATTAAGTTCATAATTAAAACTATTTTGAAAAAAGTGATGACTGAATGAAAGAAGAAAGTTGAAACTAATGGCTAGGATGGGAATTTCAATTGTCCATGGGATTTTTGTCCATGATGGTAACTACCTTGAGTTAATTTTATAAATAGAAGTCCCATGGATTCAATTGATACTCTACGCAGATGATTCTCAGATCTGTTTGTCCAGCCTTAACATCTCTCCTGTCTTCCATTCTCAAATCTCCGACTGCCTACTGGATGTCTCAAACTGGATGTCCCTAGGACATATTAAACTCAACAAGTCCAAAACTAAAATTACTGTCCTCCCCCTCTTTCTAACTTCCCCGTTGTCGTCAAGGGTACCAACATCCTCCCAGTCACCCCCGCTCAGAACTTAGGAGTCATCCTTAACTCTTTACTCTTGCCCCCCACATCCATTCCATTGACAAGTCTTCTCATTTCTACCTTTATAACACCGTATGTGCCACTTTCTCTTCAACCCTGCCATCACCTGAATGCAGGCCCTCATCACTTCACTCCTAGACTATTCAAATAGCCTTCAGCTTAACTTCCTTGCTCAACTACTTCCCCCCTGAAGCCCATCTTCCATTCAGCTGGTAAATTGATTTTCTTAAAATGCAGGTCCAAGGAGCAGCTAGCTGGCACAGTGGATAGAGCATAGGCCCTGGATTCAGGAGGACCTGAGTTCAAATCCGGCCTCAGACACATAACACTTACTAACTGTGTGACCCTGGGCAAGTCACTTAACCCCTTTGCCTAGCCAAAACAAAAAAAAAATGCAGGTCCAACCATGTCACACCCTATTCAATAAACTCTCCAGGATTAAATATAAAATCCTCTGTTTGGTGTGCAGAGCTTTTCATAACCTCCCCGCTACTACCTCTCCAGTCTTCTTACACCTTACCCCCCTCCATATACTCTTCAATCTAAGGACGCCTTGCAGTTGCTCAAACAAGATACTCCCAATCTCTCCACTCTGCATTTTCGCTGGCTGACCTCCATGTTTGGAACTCTGTTCTCCTCACCTTTACCTCCTGGCTTCCCTGGCTTCCTTCAAGACTCAGCTAAAGATTCACCTTCTTCAAAGACCTTCCCCATCTTTTTTAATCTTAGTGCCTTCTTTCTGAGATTATCTCCAATGTATCCTATACACGTGGTTTGTATATAGTTGTTTGCATGCATGAGACTATGATCTCCTTAAGAGCATGGATTATTTTTTACCTTTCTTTAGCACTTAAGCACAGTGCCTGACACATAGTAGATATTTAATAAGTGCTTGTTTGATGACTTGTTGGCTTGACTTAAGTACAATGTAAAATGGGGATAATATTCATAATACCACCCTCACAGGTTGTCTTGGGGAAAGTGCTTCATAAACCTTAAAGCATTATACAAGTAGAGGTTATTCCTATTATTAAATAACAGCCACAATGGCAAACTGCCTTGGGCTCACATCTATTGAAGCAGATGCCTCCTGGGTTAAAATGCAGTGGTATGCTGGTTTAACAACCAACTTTTCCAAAAAAAAGTATGTATGTGTTCACATATGTGTATTTGTTGTTCAATCATGCCAGTCATGTCCAACTGGTCGTGACCCCATTTTGGGGTTTTTTTTGGCAAAGATAGTAGAGTGGTTTGCCATTTCTTTCTCCAGCTCATTTTACAGATGAGGAAACTGAGGCAGCCAGGGTTAAGTAACTTGTCCAGGGTCGCACAGCTTGTCACTGTTTGAGCCGCGTTTTGAATTCAGGTCTTCCTAACTCCAGGCCTGTTGCAACACCTAGTTGCCCTTGTATATGCATATATTTGCTTACTGTAAATTTTAATGATATAAAGGATACATATTAAAATTTACAAATAGTGAAACATATAGTACTCTTTATTGTAAATTCCATGTAGCCAGTTGATTGTCCCAGAATGCTTTTGTTGATTTTTGTCAAACTCTTGTATCCATAGCCAATCTGTGGTTGCAGTTCAACCATGATTTGACAAATGGAGTTGCATCCCAATCTGCTCTTTTCCCAGTACATTTATTGTTCTTAAATCTGACACATGATCTACTGTTTAATCTAATTCTCACCCTCATGAAAGCTGCATTCATAAACTGAAGCCTCTTTCTGCTGTAGCATGACTGATTACAACAGTGCTAACTTTTTTGTATAGTTGCAGGGATTGGAACATTGTTTGGTTCTATATTATCTACAAAATTTTGAAAATTGTTCAATTCAACTTCATGTTTTACAGTTTAATATGAGAGATGTTTTTTCACCCTCTCTCCATTGTGAAGATAGTTCTTCATAATGCCAAGTAGTTTCTAATAAATCCACATAATTAAAAATGCATTCATTGTTTTTTCTGTCCAATAAAAAACATAAGTTTATGTGTTGAAGTATATTTTCTAGTAGCTTATACCTGGGAAGAGAATTAAATTTATTATTTTTATTGAATGAAATATATTTGAACTTATTTGAATTAATGAAATCTTCAACCCAAGATTTGGTTTCTAGTGCCAATTTTCAAATTTTTCCAAAGCTTTTCTGGTGGGTTTGATTGATTTTGAGCTCTCTGAATGTTAGTTCATCTTTACTACAATGCATTTGAAAGTAATGAAAATTCTTCAAGAATGTCGATCATTAAAGCAAG